AGAATTACTTATCGCTTAAAAATAGAAACTATGGAGGAAACATTAGATCGGAGGTGGCACGTCCAAAGGAATGTTCGACTTCTCTTACTCTTTTTTTCTTTTTTTGGATTTTTGGTTTCTTTTTTATGTATATATATATATATATTTTTTTTTTGTTTTTTAATTCTTTTTTTTTTTGTACATTGTAGTATGGGGATCTTCGTCGCGCCTCATTTAACGGGACTTTCCCATCGGCCTTCTCTTCTTCGGCCCATGCAGTCGTACCGATCATTCCAATCCCCCTTTCACGAGTTACGCCTGGTAAAAGAGAAAGAGGATAGAGAGTATTCCTTCTAATCTCTACCTCTATCTCTATCTTTCTATTTTTCCCCTTTCTCTATGTCTATAGCTCCTTATTATAGTAGAACCGCAGGTTTAAGTGGAAACGGACGACGGGTGACTTTCTAAAAGCGAAGAACAATGTTCCTCCTTTCGATTAGTGTTTACCAGTCGATCGATAATGCCTGAACACGATTGCTCGTAAATATTCCAACTATTCAATTTCGATTATCGATAGTCGGATGAGACGGACGCATCGACGTCCTCCTAATCATACCTAAATAAGAAAAAAGAAAAAAAAAAAAAAAAAAAAAAAAAAAAAGAAAGAAAGAAAGAAAGAAGGTGTAGGGTATGAATATCGTGACTTTCATCGTCGTGTTTCTATTAATTTTCAAAGGGTCTAGTGTGATAGGGGTGCCAATAAAGGAAGAAGAGAAAGTGGAAGAAGAAAAAGAAGAAAAAAAAGAAGAAAGAAAAAAAAAAAGAAAGAGAGAAAGAAATAGAAAAAGCAATTCTCCTCTTTGCGTTTGCGCCGAACACGAAGAGAAACATTTTGCTTTTGTCCCTTGGCTCGGTTAAATCTTCTTCAAGAGTAAAGAACGAGAAACGTTTCCATGAGCGTATATAATAGCTTACTGCTTCAGCCATTGCGCGTGCATCCGCGCACGTGCGAGCCAGAGTTTACAGGGGAGCTTAGAGTTCATTCACACAACAGACAGAAACGTCGAACTCTTTTCGATAAATGGATCCTGAAATATTTTTGGTATTGTAAAAATTAAATGCTTATCTCGCTAGTTAAAAAAAAAAAAAAGAAAAGAAATTGAAACAAAGAAATTTGTTTTAAATTTAGAAAAAAAAACAAATAATAATAATAATAATAAAAAAAATTCCAAGTACTGTGACTTAACAATCAGCTGCTTATTGCACGCAAGGAAAAACAGAAAACAAAGAAAAAAAGAAAAAAAGAAAATAGAAAATACAATAGTAAAGAGTTATTATGCACGATAAGTCATCTCTTTGGAGGAAGGAAAGTAAGTAACTCGTGTGATGTGAACAGGCGTTTCCATAACGACAATATGTACGCTATGCGCTCTGTACGATGCCATTGCCCCCGTATATTACGTGTCCTACCACATATGTCCGTGAACATTCAGAGACTATGGGGGTTAGCTTGTGTCAGTTCTATTAGGGTGAACTGGACATTGGAAGACAGACTCTGTTCGATGGATTTTCGCACCCCATGCCACTAGTGAAAGGGTATTTCAATGTCGTATTATTTACAGAAATGTGCTTGTCTTTGGAAAATGGAAAAAAGATAAAGAAAACAAACAAAATAACGAACAGGTACTATTCAACGACATTGAATGACAAGTGTTCGAGTATATTGGATCTTTTTTCACTAATTGAAATGATATTTCAAAAGGAAAGGAAAAAAAAAAGTTTCAAATAAACGTCATCACAGATACGTCAATGAGATAAAATCATAAACGCGATACGATCAAAGCTACGTTACATATGTACCTATAGAAAGTTTCATATATATTTGTGCAGTGAGTCTTATTATCATATATACATATATATATATATATACGTATATATAATTGCACTAGCGTGATTGTAATAGAACACTGGAAAGCAGTATAATACGATATTTACAAGGGATTAGATCGATCGAAAGAGAATGCTGCATGTAGTTGGGTGCACGAGACTCAAACATGCAAAGCTATTTGACTACTACCTTCAAGTTTACGACGATCAGATGAACCTAGACCTTATCTCCAGCCGGTCTAGTACTTCGAAATTAATGTACACCCATTATATTCTCTCTACGTAGATATTTCTATAAATATTTATATTCTCTTCTTCGAAGGATGTAATATCTATTGGTTTACCTATACGCATTATAAATAAAATAATATCATTATTTATGATACGGTGGTAGAATATGAAAAAAAGAAAAAAAAAAAAAAATTTTAACAACATTCTCACCGTTATCATCTATGCAATCATCACGTGAAACAACATCCCGTCGAATATAATTTCCATCAGGACAAATAAGATTTGTCATTAAATCTCCCGACGTATGGCGTTACTACAACATTTCACTATCCTAGATTTCCAATAATTTCATATTTACCAGAGAAAATCTCTCATAACGTATACTTTACTCACTGTAAAAAAAAAAAAAAAAAAAAAACTTACTGTAAAAAGTGTTTTCTAATAGTAAGACTCGTCAGTTATACGATAATATTTGGGTTTGACGTTATTTCGTAAGACACGTGCCATAAATCAACGATGAATATATTCCGTAAGAAAAAAATAAATCGATATTGCGTGTTATCTCGTATATTCACAAAAAAAAAATATTCTCACATAAAAAACGAAAAAACGAAATAAAACGAGAGAGAGAGAGAGAGAGAGAGAGAGAGAGAGAGAAAGAGAGAGAGAGAGAGAGAGAGAGAGAGAGAGAGAACGAGAGAGAGAACGAGATAGAGAGAGAAAGAAACGAAGAATTTAACGATTTAAGTCTAATAACAATTTCCTTTAATACAACTAATTTATCCATAAAAATAATAATATTAATATAACCTACATGAGAGAGAGAGAGAGAGAGAGAGAGAGAAAAGAGGAGAGGACAAATCGTGTGATGAGTAAATGAGCCTACTTATTACGGTCGCGTTCAGGCAACGTTTTAAACCATGTAACTAAGCTACATTTACTTGAAGTGGTCAGCTAAAAAATATAAACCGTTCTTTTTCAAATGGTCGCTGGCACATGATTACATACATTTACTAATTCGACATTAATACACAGCAATATAATACTTGTTAGACGTAGTAACTATGCCATCTGTATAGAAATTCGATTTATACGAAAATATTTTCGAACATGATTACAATTCCTTTTTTTTTTTCTTTTTTTCTTTTTTTTTTCTATAAAATCTATTTTCAAGTTGAAAATAAACAAAATCAATTTGATTCGTTTCAATGAATGTCAGGAATTCCAAAGAAAAAAAAAAAAAAGAAAGAGAAAAAAAAGAAAAGAAAAGTATGTCGTACCATTAAACATTTAGATATAAAAACGTGTAAAAATTTCAAAGATATATAAGATTTACTAATCTATAAATGCAACAAGTTAACCGCAGTGTTGATACCGCAATCATGTCTCGACCTTTCTTCATTCGTTAAGCCTTAAAAGAGAACGCCTTCCGCGTCGCGTGTTAGTTACAATTCTGATGTATGAGAAACAGGTTGCATCGTAGATCGTATTGTAAGGGCTATATCGAATCCTAATACGACCATATATGTATTGTAATTGCGAAATAATTTTTTATTATCTACTTCCTCCGTTCCCCTATCCATCAAAAATATAATAACTAAAACTGGATTATATATATATATATATACATATGTGAAATCTTAAAAACAACGTACATGATACATATTTAAATTGAATACAACGTTTTTAATTCTAAATTTCTTGGAAAGTATTAAAAATAATAGAATTCAAAGATATGTCATACGCCGCGATAATTTTGAATAACAAGATGTATTCTCGTCCGACATTGGCAAAAAAAAAATAAATAAATAAATGGCATTCTATGAAATATGTATTAATTAAATCCTTTAATCGGATTATAATTGATTTTCATAGATTTTCTATCTCTTTGGATGAAATCCACTTTCCAATCGTATAAAAAGATAGGTTAACGCATACCTATGCCTATATGGTATTCCGTTTGTCAAGGACATAGAGAATGCTTGCTTATATAAAATTCATTTTGTCCTAACGAAAAAGATTTTCCTTTGGACGATCTCTTGGAAATAAAATAATAATATTATTTAAAAAACATTTATTTTAATGTCTACAAAAAAAAATCAATAGAAGAAAAATAATAAATAAAGAAGATTCAAATGTATCTCAACGTTCGTAAACATTCTCCCGCCTTTTTTGCCGTATCAATATAACTACGTGAACGTTGAACACGTTATTCTCAATCACTACTCAACGGATCGATGTGTGTACATACATATAATATCGTTTCTTGTAAGAAAAGTCAAAACAAGAAAAAAAACACATACACACACACACACACACACACAGATACAAAAGAAAGCGTACGACATCGCCCAAAATGGAATGACGCCGTTGTTCGCATCTTGAATCACAGTACCGTAACTATTTATTTTGTTTCCGAACCAAACTACATGTACACTAGCACGAAATAATCTCCATTTCGTAATTATACATCTTTTAATTTTCCGATAATAATGTTATAACTAATATCTCTGAATAATCTCTGAATTAGAAGTTAACGAACAATAAAGTCATCTTCGATAATTCTAATAAACGCTCGAATTATGGACGTTTGTTGATATAAATAGGATGCCCAACGAATTGTTTCGTTGTATGAATTTCTTTCATCTGAATCTAACGGATTAACGAAAGTTTTTTGTACAACTTGATGTTTGATAATCTTGACGTTAAGATAAATCGTACTTTTCTATGATAGGAAAGAAGAAGAAAAAAAAAAAGAAAAAAGAACATTAGCTTAGAGCAATCGACGAATGCTTTTAACATAAAACGTTCATTTTTCGGACAATAAATTAATGAGTAAAGAGTACAATCGAAAAATAACTTATGTATATATAATAAAAGAAAAAAGAATAGTCTATACTCACGTTAAGAAAGTAGAGAGAGAAAGAGAGAGGGAATGAGAGAGAGAGAGAGAGAGAGACAGAAAGAGAGGGAATGAGAGAGAGAGAAAGAGAGAGAGAGAAAGAGAGAGAGAGAGAGAGAGAGGAAGAGAAAGAGAGAAAGAGAGACGTAAAAATCTACGAGGTTTGGTCCAGCTCTTTCTCGATGTGTCCTCTGCGTTCTTTCTTACACCAATCACGATAATACCACTTGTCGTATACACTATCGATACACTATCGCTATTTTCGATGATTATTCACTTAAAAATATCACGGACGTATATGATTTGCAAGCGGCATTTGTGCCGCGTTTGGTACTACACTATAACCCCGCGCGTAAATATCGTTTAATATGTCCAAAAACTCAATCCGCGTTCGGCGCCGTTCGTCGCGCATTTGTGCCAATCCGCCGACCGGCAAGCGTTCCCCTTTACGACGCGAGCCGCTATCCCTTCTACTCGCGTCTTCGACCAATCAGAAGACTCGTCACGTTACCGTTATGCGCAGCCGTGAATGCGCACGCATTCTCGCGGACTTCTTCGCCGGGAATTAAAAACTTTGTTTTGTTAGGTATAAAATTTAATGAAAATAAATATCAGAAAATATTATATACATGTAAGCGCATGTGTGTATATATATATATATATTTAAAAAATCAATAATAAGAACTATATATTATTTATAACATAAATTTATTTTCTTTTACATTTGTACGTAATCTTTGATGCTATATTTGAAGTATGAATATACTTTACATATAACTTTAGTATGTTTCCAAAATTTAAAGTTGCTTTCATTAAATGTAATTTTATACAATATTGTTAATTGCCACACATTATTTAATGTTATATATTGATACTTACAATAGTTAAACATAAAACAGTACTTTTTGCAATGTTTGTGCTATTTTGCATATGTCACTATGTGCCAAATTTATCTGTTATTTCTTATAAGTTAATATTTGAATGTTAATAAATTTAATATACTTCGATAAATTATGAAAATATGATATAACTTTAAATTAAAATATGATATCGATGAAATTCATTTAAATGTGTGAAAACATACAAATTTATTTTTATTTTTCTTCCATTATTGTGATTCCATCTTGCTGTGTAATATGTGGCACACGTGAAATTTTCATTGTAGTAGATTTAGAATTTGCTGATTTTGTTTTAATCTCTGATCTATCTGCGTTATTATCTTGTTCGAATGGTACTACCAGTGGCACAACAGAATCTTTTGATGATAGTTGTTCTACTGGAATGTCTGAATTTTCTTCTCCATTGTTTAAACGAAGGAAAGATTTTTTATTTAATGTTTTATACGACGTCCCCTTAGAAATTACAGTTTCTTTGCGAAAAGCCGCTTCCTTTAGATCATAAATGAAATCTTTATTCACTGGTTTTACACGATTACGTATAGGACGTTGGGGTTTTAAACTACCTGATGATATTGAAGAATTAGAATCATTCCAATCTTTAGTTTCACAGTCTGTTTTACTTTCATTACTATCATTTTTTTTATCAGAGTTTGTATCATTTGTAAAGCTTGACGTTTCTGATTCCAGCTGTTTTGAGGAACATTCATCAGGCGTGCCAAAAATGACTTCCATAACCATTCTTTTAAGATCAGGGTCACTGTCCAGCGTTCGAGTATGATTGTTTTCACTGTTTTTACTAAAGTTCGAAGTGTTATTGTTTTCATTGTTGATTGTAATAGAAACGCTATCATCTTTATCACTGGAGCAAGGTACTTCTTTAGTACCAGCTTTTATATTGTCAACATTCGTATTTACTACATTCTTATGATTTTTATCCACAGTCACATTCTTTGTTTTACAGCGATCTAAAGAGTTGGAAGAACTAACTGATTTAAATTCATTTACATTTTCTTCCATATTAGTTACATCAATGACAATATCTTCATTGCATGTATACTGATTCTGTGGTATTTCTACAACCATATCTGTTATAACTGTACGATTATTTTGAGCGTTATGCATTTTATTACAATGAGCAACACAATCATATTTTACAAAGCATTTAAAGTTACATAGCTTGCAACGATATCGATTCCAACCAATATGAATGGCCATATGTCTACGTAAATTCGTCATTGATGTAAATTTCCTTTTACATGGAAGGCACTGTAACTTTCGAAGATTTGCTATGGTAGCTATTTTATTTTCCATTATTGTTGTTTGATCAACTTGGTTTCTTACATCAGTAGATGAATTCAAAGTTGAGCTAATATTATTACTTGAATTATTCGAATTTGTTCCTATAATAATATATATTATATATTATATATATATATTAATATTATATATATATATATATATATATATATATATATATATAATATTAAGTGGACCGGAAAGTAATGTCGCTTTCTTAAATTAGATTCAAACGAATAAATTTTTAACAAGTTTTTATTTTCAATCACAATCAAATATCGACATGCGCAGACACGACATTACTTTCCGATCCACCTAATATATATTTAATAAATAATTAAATAATTTACATAAATATTCTATAGTAAGCTTAAAATTTATACACATAAATTTATAGATACAAAAAAATATACTCACCTATAATATCATTTAATACCTTCAACTGATTATCTATCACTACTTTCCTTTTTTTACTTCCATTCTTTAGAGCAACTGTTTCAGATGTATATACAATTTCAGGATTATCCAAAGTATTATTGGACGGAGATGAATCTTTGTTCATGTTTTTATTAAATAGTTCTTGATTTTGGGAAACATTTATTTGTGATGATACACTAACTATATCAGTACTTTCACTATCATTAGAGTGCTCATTGCCAATCATATCCCAGTCTGCATCTGTTAGGGTAGTTATGTTTTCTACACGAATAGATGTTTCATTTAATTCTGTTACTTCCGGAGAATTTTCTGCAATAACCGGGACGATAAATATGGTATTACTGTTCGTCGTTGTTTCTGGAGAACCTTTTGGAGTTTTCTTTTCTTTAATTATGGTTTCGTTATATGCAGCAATTCGCCTCTGACAATGTTGCGAATGCGAAAATAAAGCAGCTTTCCTATCAAATTTTTTGCCACATCCGCCGCATCTTTGAATCTCTGAATCGGTTTCCAAATGATTCATCCATTCCTAAAATATAATATTCCAGTAAATATAAAAATCTGAGGACTCAAATATTTTCATAAATATTTAGATAAAAAGAACACTAGATATAAATACTAGATTATAAAATTACGTACGCGAGTTTCATTAGATCCGTTTAAGTCTATAACTTCAATAGGCTTGCTAACTGCATTATCTTGCTCTGTATCATCTGCGTGTGTTATTTCCTTACGAAATGCTTTTTCTTGAATCTGTATTCTCAACTTTCGTACTTGTTCATTTGACATTCTGTGAACTGCAAAAAATATTTACACGTGCAGTTTATTAATTATTAATTTACAAGAAAAAGTAAAACACTACAAATATATTATGTTTTAAATACTTTTAAAGAGATGGCGATATACACTCCATGTATTCACAAATGTACTCGGACAGCAAGGACATGGATAACATATACGATGAGATGTATGTAATGTTTTCATATGAAATGTTAAGGTCTTTTTGGTGGAAAACTTTGCATTGCCTACATATAATTATACATATATTAATATCTGATAAATACAATTTAATTAAGCAAAAGTACAAATGATTTAATAAATAAAAAATTTACCCACATATAGAACAAATCAAATTGGTAGTAGACAATTGGTCAATGCCAAATTCATTATATTCTTCATTTGCCAAAGATGGGATCAAATGATTATCTTCGTATACATCCTTTTTTTCTAAAAGTTGTCCATTGGGTCCTAATATTCCAATATTTTGATTTAGCATAGTTTGTAAGTTTACTGTCTAAAAATGGAAACAATTAGTGATAACAGTATTATAATTTAATACAAGTATAAAATCACATTAGGCATATATTTATATGAACTCTTTTTCTTATTATAGTGTGTAGAATCCACACCTGCTGTACTTCCCATATAAGCAAGAAGAAAATAAATTATTATTAATAATACAAAGTATATTTAATTATGGCTAAATTAAACCTTACCTTTGTTTCATTTAAATCATTTTGATAAACAATGGAAATTTCTGGTTTATCAATTTCATATTGTGCGTTAACCTTATTTGAATACAGGATATTAGAATTGTCATAATTCTTATTAAGTTTCATTTCTTGTAAATTATAATTATCACATAATCTTTGCTTTCTTTGAAGCATATCTATTATAGTAGTAAGATCTTTCTTCTGTTCTTCTTTATTGGCTTGACTTCTAAGAATTCTATCGTTATTACAATTTTCTTTCACTACTTCTTGTTCCGGTATATGTAAACGTATAAACGAACCTTTGGTATATGCCTATAAGTTTTATCGGATAAATTGACATTGACTTTATTAGTTAAATTACTAGTAAACAGAAAGATATATCACTAATGCACTAACCTCATCATCATTGGTGAGAGTATTTTTATTTAAAGTAATATTAAATTTTTCTTTACAATATACTCTTTTGTGAGAAATGAAATTAACAAGGCTTCTAAATAAACTACGACAAACACGGCACTCATACACAATATCGCATTCATAAGCTAAAATTGCTTTAACCTCATCACTACCGCTTTCAAGAAGTTTACTAACTTGAGACAATCTTGAGACACTTATATCAATAGGTTTTCTTAAAGCTGATAAATCTGGTGTAATCACATTACTTGTTTCTTTTGTACCAAATTTAATTTTTCCAAATTTCGTACTATTTTTTTTATTTTTAGACTTTGCTTTCATTGACTTCATTTCCTGAAAATAAATGAAATTGAAGTATTAAAATGAGGCTTTACAACGATAAAAGTTAATGCTCATATTAATGGAAAAAAAGGGAAAAAAAAAAAAAAAAAATAGAAAAGAAATATTTTTATTCCAATTAATGTGCTCCAAAAGTTTATAGAAAAAAGAAAAATATATTTCTAATTTTTAAATAAAGTTTGCAAATAATAATATATAATCTTATATAAATATCTATCAGTATTTGAATTTAATATATTTATTTAATATAATAAGCTACTAAGAAATATGTGATTTATATTTATTATTCCAATATGAGCTTGGAATAATATATAAATTTCTTTTAGGTATATTCTAATTCAGATAAATCCTATTATAGATAAAATTTAATGATAAATTTAATTCATACATGTTTATAATGACATATTATAATTTATAATATATTTTTACAACTTAAATGCATTAAAATTTGTTATATATTATAAATATTTAGTCAATGATATCTAAAGAATACAAAGCATATCAAAAATACATATTGTAAATGTTATTTAATTAAAACATCACATATAATTATATTTTTATTGAATTATATTTCTGCGATTAATTATTAAGTACAAAAAAAAAAAGACGAGAAAATACGATAGTCTTTCATTGATATAAGGACGAAGAAGAATAGCTAATGTGTAGTGTCTCTCCTGCATTTTACAACAAGAAAATCAATTTCCATTCAATGATTTTCGTTTTGTTTAGTCAAAGAAGAAGCATATTTACCAGTGTTGAGGATTAACAACCGGCTCCGTGCGAAAATAGCAAAGAAATTATATCTAAATGTGGTCTCACGATCTGTGGATTCGATCATCGGGTGACCTCCATTTTCAGTAGAAGTTCTTGTGTTCACCGTTTGGCAAAACTTTTACGAGCAGCACTTTAGTCATACGTACGTACAAATTCTACGAGTTTGATTATTTTTCAATGACAAAACGAATAAAATATTTTAAAGATTTTTCATTTAAATAAATAAAATAAAATGCAACATAGTAGGGCGTTTTCGTCTATAAAGGTGAGTTATTATTTATTATCAATAGATTCCAATCTAATCCCAGTAGAGTTTATAATTTTTATTTATGAAATTTATAGTAAGTTTTTTTTACATTATATGAGTATTTTAAATTACATCATGCCAGTTATATGTATGTGTGTATATACATAAATATGTATAAATATATAATTATATTAACAAAACAAATGATTAGTGCATAGTACCTCTACTGACAAATAGAAAGTATATACAATGTGATAATATTAAACTTTGGAATCATGGATCATTTGCACGCACATTGCAATGGTCTGCAACTAGAATTATTCATACAACGGCTACTGTTAAAACTTCTGCCATTGAAAAAGTGAAATCAACTAGTACGTTCAAATGGATACTACAAAAATTAAAATTCATTGATTTTGAAGGAGCTGTAAGTAACAATTCATTAGTAACATCAATATATTTTAATTCCTATAAATTTAATATCTTATACAGAGATTTATAACATTTATAAAATTGTAGTATATTAAAATTATGATTATTACAGAAAGATTATTTACTATTAAATGATATTTATGTGAATTGTAAATTTTACTATTCCTAGAAAATAAAAACACATGCCTATTCAGAGTATGAATATATTGTAGATAAAATTGATTATTCTACATTTTACAAAGGTATGTTTATTATCTTTAATTATTAACATATATACATATACATATATATATATATGCATATATATGTGTATATATGTAATAAATATATATAATTTTGCATAAACATCCAAGAACTTTTAACAATTGTATATGACTAATCTGTTATTTGTTAAACAGATTTGAACATGGCTGATACATTTTTTTCATGGTTCTTAATAACAGAATTACATGTATGGATGTTGATGGTACGTCTTATGGCGGAAGGAAAATATGGTAAACTAGCTAGAAATGCCTTAGTAGAAGCAATGTGGGATGATATAGAAATAAGATCAAAAATGTTAGGAGTAAGTGTATATGCACATATTCCTTTTATCATTTATATATTTCGAAACAATAAATTCCTTCTATAAAGATTTAATTTATCAATTTTTATGTCAAAAATATTTGAATTGTATAATATTAATATTTTTGCTCAATTATTATTTGATTTGTAAAATATGATTCGCAATATTTATTTTAAATTGATTATTCAAACATATTCTATTCTTAGAAAATTAATCCAAATATCAGAAAAGAACAAAAGGTAGAATTATCATACCAATTCAATGCAGCTATACTTGCTTATGATGAAGGTATAATGTCTGATGACAAAGTACTAGCACGCGCATTATGGGAAACATTTTTCAATTTAGAATGCAATAATCCAGAGGTTATAGAAAAACTATTGATTTATGTTAGGAAACAGGTAAATTTTCTATCTAAAATTCCTTTTTCTTATTTCAATTAACTGAAAATATAATGATTTATTTAATATAGTGACAAAATTCGATTAAATTTATTTAAAAATTATTAAGTAGTATTTGAAAATTAAGATTTTTTTATCATTTTATAATGATATTCTAATTATATAAATTAAATAACACTATCATTTATTTATTTCACAGATTAATCTTTTAGATAAAATACCATCACAAAAGATATTACGACACCCACAGATAAAATGGTTAGAACTAAAAAATATAAATATAGATAATAGTTTGTAAATATGTAAATATACAATAAAAAAAATTTATAGAGATATTGTATGTAATTATACGTATAGTATTATATGAGATTTTTCAAATTAAATGATTATAAATTCACAATGTAATAGGAATAATATTTATTTTTATTATAATCAATTAAGTATAACAAATAATATATAATAAAATTCTTCCTAATTATTACAAAATAAATGGAAGCCAATAAGTGTACATATATCATGGATTATAATTAAGATATATCATTAATCTACTTTGCAAAGATGAATAAGCATCACCAATATAGTCCTCATAATTTAATATTATAACTCAAGTTATAATAATTAGTGTGGTACAGTAACAATAATATTATTCATATATTGTTCTTTGCACTTTAAATCACAGCTTGTTTGCAAAGCTGGAGCAGCATGTTTGAAAAAATTCCTGAAAAAAAAAAAAAATAAAAAATACATTGAATATTAAAGAGATTAAAAAAAGAAAAATTATTAAATATTGATCATTGTGTTATGCTATTTTATAGACTTACTTATAATATCGATCTAAGGTATCCATATTATTTTTCTTATCTACAAGCCAATTATTTAAAGAATCTAATGACAAATCTGTAAGATTATATTCATTCTTAAACGAATACGATCTGTACCATTGTGGCCTTTGTGTTGGATGTTCATTTGCTGCTGTTATATTATACATCCAATTGTCAAAATCTTCAACCATCTGTGAACATGAAATAATTTACAAATATTAATATAAATTATATAGAATAATTACTTTATCTTTCTAAATAGATAAACTTACGAGAGTATTATTATCAATGGTATACAGTTTATAATTTGGATTCAAATATTCGTAAGTTGTAAAGCTACCTCCATTCCATGCTATATGACTAACATTTTTTGCATCTTTATCTTTGTAAATAACACGTAATTCGTCATTATGTGTATGACCATTGAATTGAGCAACAATAATGTGAGAAAATTTGTTAATAATTTTAATATATTCCCTTTTCCATATATATTGACAATCTCGATCACCAGGTGGAATATGACTTAAAATATGTACAAGTTCTTTATTTTTTTGAGCTTGTGTAAGTGTTTCCACTAACCAATTTAATTGCCCATTAGGATCTTGGTGTTGATATAATAACCACCTAAAAAAATAATTTCCTGTATTAGCAAAAGAATTTTTTTTTTCTTCTTTTTTTTTTTTTATTACACACCAGTTATAACAGTAACAAATATTGCTATTCAGGGCTATGATTCTAAATCCTTTTCTAGGTGATAATGTATAAAATCCACCTTGTAAGATAGTAGCACGGGTAGATTCTGGTAACCAACCAAAACTGATCCATAAATCTGCCACTAAATTATACAGCCAATATGTACTTAAATTATCATCTGTTATACTTTGAGGTGCATATCTGTAAAAAGAAATGTTTATTTTTTACATTTTTCTTTCATGACTTGTTATTAAATTTAAAATAATATCAATAATACAAATAGCTCACTGATTCATAGGATGTGATTCATGATTACCAAGTACAGGATAAACTGGTGTTTTCTTAAAATATTTATAAATCTCAATGTAGTTTTTATAAATATTTTCTATATTTCCTTCTATTGAAGTTTCCCAAACACTATGATCTATTATATCTCCAGTAAAGTAAATGTAATTAATATTCTGAAAATAATAATCTTTTCAGCAATGATTTATATAGGATTTAAGTATATAGGATTTAAATTGTTTTCATCAGGATATACTTTCACCTAATCATACCTGATGTGTTACTTTAATATGAGCCAACATATCTACTATTGAATGCCATGGACTATCGCATTTATTATAATCTCCCCAATAACCAGCTATTTTATTACTTGAGTTTGTAATATTCTGTCCTTTGCGACAACAGGTAGGTTCATTACAGTATGAATTACCATATGGCTCATATTTAGGATCATAATGGATATCAGTTATTTGTACAATTTTAATTGTATCATTATTTTTTTTTATCAAAGGCATTTCTTCAATAGATATATGATCAAGGGGAACTGTCCACTCATACTTTTTAGTATCAAAAGGGCAAGATATAGATTCCAAAACAATTCCACAAATATCGGATGCTTTTATATTTGGTTTTGAGTCTATTATATAAAGAATTATTGGCTATAAAAAAATAAATCATCTGATATTATATTATATATATATATATTTAATTATAATTACAAGTATTGATATTTATGTTGTAAAATGTAACAAGGCGTGCACATACCAGATTCAATTTGATGGCACCAGTACAAACTCTCTCAGTTTGAAAATTCAATAATACACATAATTTAATTATCTTCTTTGCAATATCATTTTCAGACATGCCTTGTTGTCGGAATGTAATAAAAGTTTTAAGAAATGATTTGCATATAGTACAAATACCTATACTATTTAAGTCAGTGAAAGTTCTCCAATTGGTAAATTGTAATTCATTTGGCAGAGTCAAAAATTGAATTAATTCCTGAAATACTTCTGTCTCTTCCTCTGAGTTTACCCATTTAGTAATTTCATTCACCACTGATGTAACATTGATATCTATCATTTTTAATAAGATATTTAAAAAATGATAAATTTTTTACATATACGTAATTTTTTTACTTGTATGTATGTATATAACTAGAATTTCAATTAATATAATATCAAATAATTCTATATAGAAAATATTGAATAGAAGCAGTTGGGAGATTAATATGTATCATTAAAAAGTATACAAAAATATATTAATTCGAATTTATATTACCTTGTATATCATTATTGAAACCACTTACAAGTGAGAATGTAGAAAAAATAAATAATATGGTGTTAAATCGCATATTGATCTATTTTAAACAGTTTAATTTAAGAGAGTGTTACAGTTATTCATATAATGACAAAAATGGTTCATCAAATAATCTGGTATTAACTTATCATCCCTACCTTTTTGTAACATGATCTTATACGTGGCATATTTCATAAATAAGATATATGATAAGTTGTTTTTTCAAATACAATCAAAAAAAGTACTTGAGTTTTATCTTTCCACTTATATTGAAATTGATCTTATTTGAAATTAAATTAACATATTGAAATTATTCGCTACAATTGCCCGATATTACATCTAAAAATTTTTTACCAAATTTTAGATCGACATTAGTTTATTATAAATAAAAGAAAAAAAATAAAACAATATAATTTTATTATTTTATTCTAAAACCTGACATATTCTATTATCATCATCAATCATAAGATCATCAAGCATTTCCTCAAGTGTAATTTGTGGAATGTTCGGATCGATTTCATTAGTATCAATAGGAATATGTTTTTTAGAATCTCTAAAGATATTAATATTTTGTCGCATTTCAGGATCTTCCTCTAATTCATCCAAGAAATCGTTATACGCACTGAAATATCAAAAATAAGACTTAAATATAAAATATGTCCATATAAAAATATACTTATATATTTTTTATTTATAATAAAAATTACATACTTATTGTCTGTACTCATGCTAACAATATCATCAGCAATGTGTTTCAATTTCCATATTCTGGCTCTACGACGTGCAGCTTTATCAACTCCATAAAATTTCTTAACTAAGATGATATCAGGTATTGTATCGCTATCTAATTTATCAAAATTATCATCATTAATGTTGCTATTACCAAGGGCATATCTGGAATAAGAATACAGATTTATATCTTTGCAATATAATAATTAATTATTTGTAATTATTGGAAAAGAATTTACCCAAGTGCTGAATCTCCTGGTTTAAGTACATGACCTAAATGTGTGCGAGTATGAATTGGACTATCAACTATTCCTAGTTCTGCAGCTTTGACTAACCAGACATCGGATATAACATGCTAATGGAAAAAGTATATAAATTGATAAATAAATAAATCTATAAATAGATCAATAGTATATAAAAGTAATTTGATTGATGTAAAAATAAAATAAATTTTATATACCTTTGTTGAAATACTTCCTTGACCTGGAAAAATTTTCTTATGTTTATCTTTTACAGGTTCTATATCCATTACTATATACTCAATCAATTGCTTTGGATTGCAAATACTGTTAAAAGGATATCTCCAAAATATAGTAGCACTTACTTCTGCAACTGAAGACAAATACTTATTTATATCATCATATTACTTCCATTAGACTTATATTATATTATAAATATATATAGTAATAGAAAGTACTTTTCTATCACATACTTTGTCCAGATGAAACATCTATAAGATGTATGGAATTTGTAATTCTATAGACAAGACAAATAGAACTCAATCCTCCTAATTGATGCATTAACTTTTTTGGTAAACATACTATGCTATCTTTGGAAATTGGAACAATTTCCACACTGAAAAATTGTTATTAATAATAAATATATAAACTTATAACGATATATATATATACATAAACAATAACAATGTAAATGTACCTGTAGGTAAATTTATAATTATAAATATTGCTATGTATATCATGTGAAATTAATTTTTTGGAATGTTGATAACGGCAGGGTATAACAGTTACCAAAAAATCAACCATTTTCCTAGCTGCTGCTTCGTTAGCATAGAAAAAATCTAATCCTTCTGAAATTATTATATGAATTTACATTAATATTTATATTGTTTCGTTATATCATTGGCAGAATATTTTTATTATTGATTATAAAATATAATCTATAAAATTATTAGTCATTATTTATCAATTATAAAAGGTGATTTTTCAAATTACCATGAATAGGTTTTATACCCAAAGTTTGCTCATGAGCTCTATGTTTTAAAATGAGCTGTTCTAAGTAAAAAAATGTCTTCTTATTTATACCCTTCTGTCTAATTTGTACCTAAATAAAGCGTTTTTTATTTATTAGCTTATAAATAACAGTAATGCAAAACTATTGATTTTATTATATAATTATTATATAATAATTGATCTTTTGAAAGAGAATGTCTGATAATACTTACAGATGCACGCCAATAATCTTTTGCTTCCGTACGATGACAATCATCACACATTTGATGATTCACAATATATTCAACAACAAATATTTGTTGTAAAACAGTTCCTCCTATTACTTCTGCATGTACTGTTAATTTAACCTAGAAAGAATTTGTACGTAAAAAAAAGGAAAAAATAAAATTTTGTCTATAAAGCCTTCATATAAAAACTTTTAAATTGTATTAAAAAATTAATAGAAAAATTACCTTTAATCTTTTTGAATGAGGTTCTGTCCAAACGAAACCAGCATCTATCAACTTTACACGATTTAATCCTTTTAATTTTTTTAAACATAATGCTAATAATTCTCTTGATTCTAAAGCTGCATGTATCCATTCCATAGGTGGTTGTAAATATCTATCCCACGATATATACATAAGTTTACATATGCTAGATATATTTACAAAATAAAATATTTACCTTTCACATCCTTTGCAAAATAGAAGAGTTACCTGTTTAGGTATACCTTCGGTAATATCAACTTTTGTACGCAAACATGCTACACACATGTTAGCAGGGTTCGGTTCAATTTGAGCACCACATTCGCAGCACAAACTATAAAATTAATGTATTGTTAAATTATTCTTTTATTCTAAAATAGAAAATTGGATATACTCACATTACTGTTTTACTTTGTGTTGCTGTGTCAAAATTTTCAACATATTCCATTTTGCAATATTTCTTTCTATTTATGATATATAAATAGCTTGAGTGTAAAAATAGATTAGAAAATTTAGATAATTTTTATTAACCTTATTGCACCACGTGTTCAACAAGAAATTGTAAATCCAATTCGTGGGATTTTAATGGCTCAGTTTCAAGAAAAGCTTATAAGTTCTATGGTAGAGGGCTATAGTGTCATCGCAAATTTAACCGTCTTTATATTGTAAAGGGGCGTCGGTAGTTCCAGTGGGTTGTGAGGTCGAAGGTCTTAGGTTAAAAATATGTCGGAAGACGGAGCGGACATGGATATTGATAATCAAAGTGAAGACGGAGAAATCAAGAAAAGTCCATCGAAAGATATGGATGACTTCAGGTATTGTAACCTTAAAATAATAAAGTAAGTTTTTATGTCGCTTGCCTAATAGACTTGCTTGAATATATTACACGAGTTATACGTTTTACGTATGTTTTACTTACCTTTTACTTACGTTTTACTTACCTTTTACTTACGTTTTACTTACGTTTTACTTTGTTAAACATGCTTTTGGAAATATATATATATGTATATATATATATATATATATATATATATATATATATATATATATATATATAGACATATATATTTCTTATTTTTATAATAGCTTCACATATATTTGTGCACATGCATGCTGATATTTAATTTGTTAAAGTTAATAGCATTCATTTCTATTACTTCCCAATTATTTATTACTTTAGAGCAGAAATGCATAATGATAACGATTCTTTAAGAAGTTTACACTTCATTGCCTTAGAATATTTGTTATATATTTTATATTTATACAGTAAAATAATAATTTCAATTCAACCTATTTCTTATCTATCTTATATCAAATGCTGTTATCTATATAAAAAAAAAAATGTGATCGTACTGTATTATATTTTATGAACGTTTACGTAAATATGCATAAAATGTTGAATAAAATCATAGATATTCTGTTCGTTTATATTAAAAATAAGTAAAATAACCTAACAAAATGTTACCAACTCTTTCGTATAATTCATAACAGGTTAAAAGTTTCTATTGAAGCTTTTTAGTTCATAGTTTTTCCGACAGCGCCGCTGTAGTCTAGTTTGAGTAATCAATGGGTAAAGACGCGCGTAATATATGCGATTAATACAAGTGCATTAAATTTCTGTGAAAAGGAAAAATATTATTATGTTTAATTACTAATCATAAGATTTATGCGAACTTTTTTTATATTTTTGGAATATTAAGATTTTCGATAACTTTTCTATGTACGTTCCTTGATAAAAAGGTTCGAAAAGTGTGTTGAGTGATAAAGTATTGCGTTACGTATGTACATAATGTCGAGGAATGCTCATGTTACCGAGATTCTATAGGTACTACATTCTAATATATCAAACATACATAAAATAAAATTAATGTGACATTAATTGTTAATTAAAATATTCGGTCGGTTGTTTCTTCTTTTATTTTTTTATTTATTTATTTTTTTTCATATCTTCTAAATCTTATATATATATATATAGATTATTTATATTATTTCTACATCAGTTGTTCATAAAATATTCATTTATTTTGATATTTTGTTATTGTTAATTATATTAATCAATAAAATAAAATTTTTAAATATAAGACATACATAGTTAATATGCATTTATATATTAAAATATTACATGTTTTAGTTTTTCAGAAGAAGATGGCGGAGATACAGCTGATTCTTTGGATATAAAACCACCACAGGCCGTAATTCGGCATAGAAAATCAGGATCTTCTCATAGAAGAGAAAAACACAATGAAAGAAGGGATCGTCGCGAGGAAAAAGAACGCAAGTCGCGTCATCATGATCGTGCAGAAGATAGACATAGGGACAAACATAGACATCGTAGACATGGTATGGATCCATTGGACAGATCAGAGAGATCAGAAGGTTCTAAAAGAGAAAGAGAAAGAATGGAACGATTAGAGAGAATGGAGAGCCATTCTAGGGATAGAGAATCAAGACATGAGAGAAAGGAACGTTCTACAGGTGATAGAGTATTAGAAGATTTAAGGGAAAGGTATTCTTTTTTTTTTTTTTCTTCAAATTTATATATTGTATTCCATTATTCTTATATAATAGACATTAATTCTTTTATTTTTCTTAAGATTGTTGGATAAGAGAAGAGAAAGAAGAGAGGATCCTCGTGAATTACGTGAATATAAAGTTGAATCTCGACGAGAAATACGCTTAGAGGATTCTCGTGAAATTCGTGATTCTCGAGATCGCCGAGAAGTACGAATAGAAGAGATACGTGAACGTCGTGATATGCGAGCTATCGATGATGGAGGTAGTCGCCGTGATATTCGAATGGAAGAACGCAGGCAAATTCGAGTTTTAGAAGAGCAATATTCTGAAGCAGATTTGATGGAAAGAACTGAGAGGAGTGAGAAGCGACACAAGAGGTCTCATAAACATGATAGGTTCCGTGACAGAGAAAGAGAAAAAATTGAACGAGAGAAAGAACATAGAGAGAAACAATTACGAGAAGCAATGGAAATTGTGAATACAGAGATAGAAGTCGATGAAATGGAGGTCAATGAAATTCAAATACATCCAAAAGAACCAAAGGAAATGACAGAGCAAGAACTTAGAAAAGAAAGGTTATAAGAAACAAATTATAAATTTCTTTTTTCTTTTTTTTTCTCCCCTTTAAAGTATTAACAATTCGTTTTCAAAATTATAGATTATTGGAAGCAGATAGAGAAATGGCTAGAAGAAAAGAAGTTTCACGTCTAGAATTAGAAGCTAGACGATTGAAACGAGGTGAAAAGCGACCATTAAGTCCTGAAACTTGTCAAGACCCATCTATCGTTGAGTTATCAGATGAAAGTCCTAGTCCAGCGCAATCCGATGAAGGACGTTCAAAGTCGGTCGAGTAAGTTTATGTTATATACATTGTGTCATGTCAAAAATTATACAAATAATTTGTCATTTAATTGAATTTTTTTTCAGATCCAGGCATTCTTCGGACGGACAAAGAAGTATACACGAGAGATCATCAGACAGACATTCTTCTGATTCTTCAGATTCTAGTAGCGACGAGGACGATGAGTCAAATGAATCAAACAAGGGTTCTAACGGTGATTCTAACGATGGATCTGATTATAATAATCCGAGTCCATTGTCTGTAGAACGTTTAGCAAAGTCTGATCATTCTGACGGAGATTCACCTGGTCATGTGGATCCGAATGGTACTGCCAAGAATGCAGAGGAAGAAGAGGAAGAGGAGGAAAAGAAAAATGAAGAACCTGAATTACCTCCATATTTACCGGCCATTCAAGGTTTCATTTATATTCGTTTATCTTTAAGAACAAAACAATAATTTGATGTTTCATGCCATAAAGAAGAAAATTATTTTTTAGGTTGTAGAAGCGTTGAGGAATTTCAATGCTTAAATCGTATAGAAGAAGGTACGTATGGTGTTGTATACAGAGCACGCGATAAACGAACAGATGAAATCGTTGCATTAAAAAGATTAAAAATGGAGAAAGAAAAGGAAGGATTTCCTATTACCAGTTTAAGAGAAATTAATACTCTGTTAAAGGCACAGCATCCTAATATCGTAACTGTGCGAGAAATAGTTGTTGGTAGTAACATGGATAAGATATTTATAGTTATGGATTATGTAGAGCACGATCTAAAGTCATTGATAGAAACAATAAAGCAGAAGAAACAAGTTTTTATACCTGGTAAAATATTATTAACTTTTTTTTATTATGTCTTTATAGATTTACATAAGATTTAAACTTTATATATTTTTTATTTACTAGATAGTAATGGAATAAATTTTTATTACTTTAGGTGAGGTAAAGTGTCTTATGGAACAATTATTACGTGCGGTAGCACACTTACATGATAATTGGATTCTTCATCGAGATTTAAAAACATCAAATTTATTATTAAGTCATCGAGGTATTCTAAAAGTTGGCGATTTTGGTTTAGCTCGTGAATATGGTTCTCCATTGCGACAATACACACCAGTTGTAGTGACACTTTGGTATAGAGCACCAGAATTATTGTTAGGTGGCAATGAGTATAGTACACCCATTGATATGTGGTCCGTAGGGTATGTAGCATATTAATATTCATGGTATTAACTATAATAAATAAATATATATATATTATTATTATTAGAAAAAGCATGGAATATTAATTATATTAAAATATTTTTTCAGATGTATTTTTGCGGAATTACTCAGGATGGAAGCTCTCTTTTCAGGAAAATCGGAAATTGATCAATTGAATAAGATATTTAAGGAATTGGGTACACCAAGTGATCGTATTTGGCCAGGATATAGTAAATTACCAATGGTTCAAAAAATTCCATTTGCTCATTATCCTGTAAATAATTTAAAACAAAGATTTAGTTTGTCTCTTTCGGATCTAGGGATTGAATTATTAAACAAGTAATTAACATTTTAACCTATTTAACCTAACCATAAAACTTTTTTTTTTTTTTTTGAATAAATAATTAAATAATGAAATAATTAATCTTAACTATTTTAATACATTTTTTAGATTTTTAACATACGATCCACAACAACGGATAACAGCCGAGGATGCATTGAAACACCCCTATTTCACGGAAGCACCCTTACCAATCGCACCAGAAATGTTTCCCACTTGGCCTGCTAAATCAGAATTAGGGCAAAGAACAGCAAATGCATCACCCAAACCACCTAGTGGTGGAAAAGAATACAAACAGTTGGGAGATGGTGACGATGCTGATCTAAGTAATTCAGGCTTTCACATGGGATTGATGGATGGTGGAAGACAACCACCTGTTGGAGGTGGTTTCCATTTAAAGTTCTAACAATTCTGACGAATCTTTCGTTGATAAGAAAATAAATATAATTTCTTGATATATACATATATATATATATATACACACACACACACACATATATATATATATATATATATATATATATATATCTACAAGTAAATTCGTCAAGATATTGGAGGGTAATTTATAAAAAAAGAAGGTATTGCATTTTTATGAGTTTTTCAAACATTTAATTAATATAATCAAATGATCGATAAAGTTATTTAAATTGATTTATAGCGTTAACCATTTATTGTGCAGAGTTTTTTACATAATGGCGCAATAGACAATGCTATGTCTATCTATGGTCTCGACGATTCAAAAATGATTATTTTCATATAGTTGTGTAACAACATGGGTAACAACATATACATTTAAGACTTCTGTTTACTGCAAGGTAATTTTCATTTGTAATATAAAATTATGTGAAAAACGTTATACTGTATATGGTTTTTAATGAATTCTTCATTTTATGTAATCTTACGAGACATAATTGAAATATATAAATGGTACGCATGAAGTTTCCTATATTTTTACTAGATTAAGAAAATGGATTTGTCTATGATTATAAAATCAACCATGCAATATTTATGATAAATTACTTGCTTATACAATTTTGTTTTTATTATTCTCACCCCATTTAAGAAGATATCTCTTAAAAATATATATAGAGGTAGGAAATACAATTAAATTAATAAGCATGTAATGGAAAAAAGAAAAATAAAATTTATCAAAAATTATTTCTTCGCATTCTTTTATTTATTTTTTCTAATTTATATGCATATAACTTAGTTACATGATAGAAATAAAATAACAAAAATTTTGTGCTGTTACATCTTTGATTTTCATTGTGTTATTCAAGAACAAAGCACTCTTTTACAATTGCAATTAAAACTTATTAATAGAATATACATATTTTTATAAATAATTATCCGTATCAATTCTATCATAAATATTTCATTTTCCAGCATTGTTCATATTTTTTGGAAGACCCAGTAAAGTATTGATAATCTCGGAGTTACGTTTTGGATAGCAAAGCCGTGGCGATGCCATTAACAATCTAGCAAGTTGCAGTTCATTGTCCTGCGAGAAAAAAGTCAATTTTAAGTATTATTTTTTATTAAGAGATACAATTTTATAGTTCATTCTCCTATTCATAGATCATGTTTATGCATTGTTCCTTAATATCAGTAATTTAAATTTATATTAAAAAACTGATACTCTGACATAATTTGTTAATTAATTAAATATATAAAAAAAAAAAGATTTTACCAATCCTCTTCCATAAGGAACGTTCATCGAGAAGACATTCCTTTCTGTATCATCCATGGTGGCAAATATCTGATAGATAATTCCAATCATAAGAATGAGAATATATAAGAACTTCATGATGATCTTGGGTTTGATCCTTCTACGGAAAGAAACAGCAAGAATTTGTAAATGTACATACATAGGATAAACGAGGATCTTTCGCAAAATTTTTACTTCTTTTTTAACACTTTATAATGCGGGAAAATCCCGTTTTTACTTCATTCGTATTTTTTAATGTCAGGACAATTTTAGATTCATAAAACTTTTTAAATTAAATGCGACATCAAATTTTATATGATTTTTATTTGGTGTCAAGTTTACTGTATCTCAACAACTGTATATCATTAAAAATAATTCCATGGCACGTAAATCAATATACGAAAAATTATACCGTATGTAAGGTGTTAATTAGTTAAAAAAAAAAAAGATATGAAAACAATAATCTTCTAGGTAATATTAATTAATTAAATCAAATGATTTTAATAATTCAAAAGTTTCTCAGGATAATACTTTAGAGACTTGATATAAAATGTTAAAATTGATCCTTACCTTTCTATGTTCCTAGAAATTTAGAATTGTTTCGAGTATACTGCCGAAGAAGTAAGAAGACAATGTTATCGTTTCTCGGAAAACATGCTTCTTTTATACTAAACTGATTTACTCAAGCTGCATTGAATTGTCTCTGTTTGTGACAGCCGGCTGCTCTGTTACAGACATGTCTCCTGTTTTTGAACGACGAAGACGTCTTTTTACGTAAATGCATTAGAGTGCTTCTAATTTCTTTCTTTCGTGTATGGAAGATAAATATGACAGATTATAGATAAAAATAGATTTATTATTTCGATGAGGTAATTAAATTAACTTACTCATTGGTGTACGCATTATCTATATAATATATTGCAGTTTTTTAATTATCATATACAGGTATACCTCCGTTAGTTTTCAGTGGATAGAAAAACAAAATATGTTGTAAGAAGTTAAAGAAAAAAAAAAAATAATGAAAATCTATTAACTTTTGGATTCTCTAATCGATATTACCAAACTATTCGAACCTATTAAAAATATTTACCTGACATAGACAATCTCATTATATATTGATGCGATAACCAATAAATTAACAAGAACGATTGACGACCTAATTCTACATTTTTACGAATGTAAAAATATTTATTAATGAGATCGTTAACTTTTCGATTATCTATTGGATTCATTAGTATATATGTTATTCATGATGGAAAAATATAGGAAGAAGATTCATGATTGATCAATAAGCAGAGATAGAGATCCTTTGTCTCAAGGCAACGCTTCTCTTTTCTAAGGACGACAATATATATTCTGGTACATATGAAAAGAATAAATAATAAAGAAAGAATGAGTAAGGGAGAGAGAGAAACAATAAAATAAAAAACAATCTTAGAAAGGGCGAGGACAGAAAAAATAGAAAAATAGAAAGAAGAGAATCCATACGCCATGAGAGTCCATATGCGAGATAGAAATCCCGAAACGTGGGTTGGGGACCTGGGTCACTAACCCACGAACCAGAAAAGTTGCTTAGCTCGACATCCTGTCCTTGAACCGTTCTTAAAACCCTCCAAAGTGGTAGTGGAAGACACGATCGGATCATAGCGAGGATTAGATCTTTGCCACGTCGAAGTGTGTCGAATGTATCTCATCAACAGTCTTTTGTTCAATTTCATTGAACTCTGGGAATATTTCTTGGAAGAATAAGAAATGAAAAATATTTTTTTTTAAAATACAAACTATTAATTATGACTTTCTAATGGGTCGATTTTTCAAACGTTCTAAAACATCGATCTAATCTTCTAACTCATTTTTCCTTTTTTTTTATCTTTTCATCTGCATATCATTAGTAGGTGGAGATACAGCTTTTAAAGGAGAGAAGTGCTTAATTTACAACAGAATAGAAAAATAGGAAGATTTTTTACATGTCAAATGTATTGCCGAAATTTTTAAGCGATTATACAATACAATCGTTTAAATTACGTAATAACATTTCTATTCGTCCTTGGATTAATAGCATTCTCTTGTCCGTACTTAAAAAATTGAAAGATAATCTCTGAAGACACAGTATTTTATAATAGTTAATGGACCGTATTACTAATGCTTCATAATAAGATGCGACACATCAAAACGCAAAGTGGATTTCAGTAACGGAGGTCACTGATCTCAATGCATATTAATTCGTTATCCACATATTGAGTATAGTTTTGTAACTTCCTACACGAATGAAGTGGACTCATTAACTATGTACAAAAGTTATTTTAAAACTTTTACAAAATGTCGATTCTTTTTCTTTTATTTGCTTTTCTTTCATTAATTTTTTTTTTCTTATTACAAGTATATACACTATTTAATATTGTAAATATATTTATTTTATTGTCTCTATTTAATTTGTTGCTATATAAATATATTTTTTTGCATCATTTAAAAATACTTGTTTGGCTTTCAATAGGTTCGAACAATAAAGATACTAATTTATCTTGAGGGAAAAAAAAACAAAAAAGAATCTACAAGGAAATCAATACGTATTCGTTTAAGGTAGATCCTTGTTTTCAACGATATATAAAACGAGAAGATAACAAGAACATTCTCGCAGCCCCGCTCGCGCATTCTCATGCTATTAATAACTTTCTGGAGTTTTCTGGTTTCGGTGAAAATTGATTCTGTTTGTTTGGCCATATACAAGTTCAAGGGGATTCGTTGACATTTTTTCGAATACCTTATTTTTCGAAGAAATTCGTTATTGCCCGTTCTAAATCCATTACTTTTCTTAGTCCCTATCAGGTCGACGAAAGTGAAAAGAGAAAACAAGAATGAAGACAAAACTTGGATGCAAATGAGAAGAACTGAACGATTTGTCGGTTAAAGAAAAGGGAGAAAATTTCTTTTGAGATCTGATATATGTAAATGAAATTGCAACGATCCCCAATCCTCATCCCAATGTATCTATGACTTTTTATATTTCTCTAAAATCTTATTGAATATATTCAAGGCGTAATTAACAAAATAAAAATTTTCAGGGTTAATAGAAGAAGAAAACAGAAAATGAATAATATAATTGAATGATGAAGTAGAGTTATTGAATTCTTAATTAGATAATTAGATAATTTCTCATAACATCAAATTCACAATCCAATATCCTGAAAATCCTGTAAAAATCCAAAGTCATTGGATGTATGAACGAAGTGCTCATCAACAATTAATTCGCTCCTTTCAACCCTAAGATATCATTTTACAAGGTATCGTTCTATGCTTAATTGTTTATCCTGTCATTGATCAATTTCATCATTTCTTCCTCGTACACTCATCGGCTTTAGATGTTTTCCGACGCACCCTCTTAACAATATATTTGTTGAACGGATCTAATATTCCATAAGAGAACGGCTTCTCGATTGTCTTTTCTTCGAAGTGAGACAGTACCTCCAAATCAAACAAGCCAATTCCAAATGGAGTTCTCGCACCCCTTGGCTTGCAAGGAAGCGGCTTGGTGTCGTTGGCACCAATGGTCTCTGCCTCTACGCGATCACGTTCTCGTGGTCAAGGACACAGCAAAGAAGCAATGGCACAGAAAGAAAGAGAGAGAGAAAGAGAGAAGGGTGCGGGTCGAGGGGCTATCGATGGTGTAGGTATATATGGTCGTCCTCTCGCGTTCGGAATACCAGATTCGTGCGTCCAGATTAGTCCTCTCTATCGAGGGCTCTGTGTGGTGCCTTTTAAAATTCATCGCGAACGACTAACAACCGACATCGAAGAAGAAGAAGAAGAAGAAGAAGAGGAAAAGACCGATCACTTTCAGTGATTCTTTTGATCAGTGCTGTCAAACCGCGTGCTACCATCCGATCACTTCAAACCTTTTCAATTTCAACATTCTAAGGGTTGATCGGCAGAATCGACAAAGCGGACGTTTCCCTCGACGTTACCCGGAGAGTGACTTTTCAAAGTCTTACTCCCGTATGTAATACTTGATAAATTCGACAGTCTAATATATTAATGTTATTTATATTTTTTGATAAATGTCTCGTTTTGAAACCTTGGAATTCATTTTGTATGCGCGTACATACGCATATGCGAATGATTAACAATCAGATACTAATCGGACTAAGTATATAATGTTATCGTATTGACTAGTTTTACTGATTAGATTTTCTACTTGGAAACGTAATATGTTTATGCTTTTTTAATGAATCATTATCTTTTTCCTTTCCTTTTTTTTCTTTTTTTCTTTCTTTTCTTCTTCTCTTCTCTTCTTTTCTTTTCTTTTCTTTTTTTTAACAATGCATCATTCATAACGATCATTGAACCTTGCATACTGTTTTCGTCTTTCTCTTTATCTTGTCGCTCACTTTTATCTTTTCTCTTTTTCCTTCAATGAATATTTAAAGTTTATTATTAAACTGTTAGCATTGAGGTAAACGGCGATTTCCATACAAGGAGTCTTGACATTGATAGAACGAAAGAAAAGATGCGACTTGCATTATGCCAGATGTCTTCTTCATGCATATGGCCTTGCATTACCATCGTACAATAGATCGGAAAGAGATTTACTTACTTGAAAGCCATCGTGACGAGCAAATGAATTTCGTTCTATTTGAGTTAAAAAGGGGAAAAAAAAGAAAGAAGAGAGAACTCGGAATGATATATCTTTTTCGAAATTTTACAATTATATAAAAAAATATTCTTCATCGATCATAAGAAAAAAGAAAAAGAAAACAAACAAACAAACAAATGTTAGATACGCGACCTAATCGGATTATCGGCTTAAGCTACATAATAATATAAATATTTATGAGATCATCGTATCGAAACAATATTATAATTGATTATGTAGTTGTCACATAGCACGGTGAAATATATCCGATTATAAATTTCAAGCATCATCGATCATACATCGAATATCATTTCACAAAACAACGAGAGATCTGATTCCCGATCGTATCCTAACCGGTCATCGTACTCGTTTTATTCGAGATAGCAATATCGATCAATGTAATAGCCATGGTCGTTCATCGTCAAGGTCAACGAAAAGGGATACTATCTTTTATATTCCGAATACGTGATTCGTAATACATGTACCATTCATAGTGACTCAGAGTGGTGAATAAGATCGGCACGCCTTTCATGATTGCTTATTCATAAACATTAGAAAGAAATTAAAGAAAGGATTTATATTAATTATTTTATAATTTATAGTTTATAACATTTATATATTATGTATGATATACTTAGTCTGAATTAATATGTCATTCGATACAACTTACAACCCTATTCATTCGATCTTATTGATCGTAGTAATAATTAAAAAAGGAAAAAAAACAAATGACAACTAGCAAAAGAAATTATATGCATACAAAAATCTCTCATGGTCTTAGATCGAACTCGATCACCGGTTTCCCATTACCAGAGATCTTTTTTTCTTGTTCGTTTTCTCGTAGCTCGAAACGAAGACAGGTTTGGCCGGCATCGGGAATGCATATATCCACGCTTATAATTAGCTTTTCGCATGTATGTTTTTTTCAATTCACACTTTGCTCCTATTTACTGTGTACGAGTCAATGTCAATATCATCGATCGTTGATAAAAATTGTTCGAAATAAATGAGATCGATTTCAGGGTACGATGCTGATCGGAATTGTCTTTTTGCTGATCGGCTCTTCTTATGCGGGACCATTACACGATGTACCAG